TGGACAATAGCTGCATTGCCATTATCCTTACCTCCATGATCTTTCAGGCGTTCAGGGCACACCTTTCTTGTGTGACCTACTTTCTTACAGTGATAGCATCTAATACCAGATGCGTCACCACTATAAGACTTCGACTGATTTTTACCTTTCCTCTTGTCGAATTTTCCTTTAACAGCCAAACCTTCACCAACCGTCGAAGGTTTATGCTCCTTACGTTCGTTCAAGTCCTTAGAGTACAAAGCTGATTGAACTTCTTCAAAGGTCAGGGACTCTCTTCCATACAAGAGGGTTTCTTTGAAGTGAGCATGTGATCTGGGCAAAGCGCACAACAATAACAGCGCTTGATCTTCATCATCAATCTTTACATCAATATTTTCAAGATCAAGAATCAGTTTGTTGAACATATCCAACTGCTCAGCCAACACTTTGTCTTCAATCATCTTGAATGAATACAAAGCTTGCTTCAGGTAGAGTCGATTTACCAGAGATTTGGTCATATACAAACTTTCAAGTTTCACCCATAACCCTGATGCCGTCGTCTCCTTTGATACCTGTCGAAGAACCTTATCACCAAGGCTCAACAAAATTGCGTTGTGTGCTTTCTCGATCATGGCCGTCTTCTCTCTTTCTGTTAACGCAGCGTCCATCGCCGTCGCTCCCTTCAACGCTTCCAAACAACCCTGCTGAACCAGTAGGGCTTTCATCTTCAAGCGCCATAGACCGAAATCATTCACTCCGGTGAACTTTTCAATCTCATACTTTGTTGAAGGCATCTTCTCCACGCTCACCGCACCAATTTGTTGTGAATTCAATGCCAATAACTAAGTATAGAATAATGGAGGAATATCAAACAAGGAGGGAGAAGAACACAAGAATTGGTTATAACTGCTATTCTTTACTTTCTCTTAGGAAACAAGATTACAAGTTTACAAGAATAACAAATAACCCTCTCACCCTAAATTAGGATTTGCTGTATTGCAATGATGAGAGACTAGTATGCTATTTATAATAAAACCTAACATACTAACTAATGGGATTTTTCCACAAGGCCCATTATACAAGCTAACTTAATAATCAAGCTAACTTAACAAATTAGGGTTTAAACACTAAAACCTAATTTAACAAGCATTCTTCGACAAGTACATGCTATACCCTTCTTCGACTACAGCATGTACTTCGATCATACTAGAGTTCGATCCAAAATCCCACAGATGAAAAAAAGGATTAGATGAAAAAAAGATTAGATAAATAAAGGGTTAGATGAAAAAAGGGATAAATAAATATTTAAGTACACAAACCTTAAACGCAAATAATTTTCTGCTCTTGCAATTCAGCATAGAGAACACTTCATAACAAAGACTCTTGCATATCTTAAATCGGAGGATAGTTTCAAGCACTTTATATGACGTTCTACTATCAATTTTTGATATTCATAATGTTTTTATAATGGAAATAATCAGGTTTCACGCGGATCACTGTTAGGGACAAAATTGTTGATATATTTGTAGATAATTTTGTGTTCTTGGCACTCAATTTTTTTTATAATTAATTGTGTTTAAGTAGTAAATAGATATAAATAAGCAATTATATAGTTTTAAGTTACATCACTTTGTTTACTTAGTTTTTGCTCATTTTGTATGTTTTGATGTTGGAACATTGGAGCATTGGAACTTTGGAAAAGCTAGAGCCAAGAATATGGTGCAACAAGTCAAAATTAGAATTTTTGTTCAGCCTAGCGTGCTAAGTGCAAGTTGCAGCACACTTTTGGTATTTTGCGCATTTGGCTGAATAGAGGTTTTTCTGAGTGCACTAAGCGGCCTCATCCCGCTTAGCGCGGTCCACTGAAGCAAATTTAATTACTTTTGCGTTGAGCCTGCTTAGCGCGCCCTGGCCGCTTAGCGGGACTCATTTTTTTGGGAACTTGTATAAATAACTAATTTGTGATATTTTAGGACCCACTCTTTTACAACATTGAGAAATCAGATTTTTAGGGCTAAGAAACACTTTTTATCATTTTGTAACTCAAGATCAAAGATTTCTACTTCAAATCTTTGACACTTTCTTGTTGATGTTTATCAAGCTCCGCACTTTTTTTGTTGAGCAACCTACCATGGTGATGGGTAACTAAACCTTCTTTTGTGTCAAGGTTAGAAGTAGTCAACCTAGACTTTATATATTTCTTTTAATAATTTTGTATATGAACTTGGTTGAAGATTAATACATGTTGAATATCTTTGTTATCTTTGTTCTTTTTATGGTTTGGTTCATTATTGAGAAGTAAGTTCCAAGCTTGACCTAAGATATTCATCTACTAATAAACAAGCTCTAGACATAGATTTGTGAGTTAGTATCCACTTGTATCAAGCTTTAAAGATTATCATGTTAATAGTTAGGTTGAGAGATCATTTAATGATTAACATGATAATACTCACAATATTGCTTAAACACGAGAAATATTGAGATGATACATGAATGTGTCGATCATTAATTAGTTCATATGCATGATTAATCAAATATATTTGGAATAGGTTGATGAAAACTAATCTTGACATGCCTTTTATCAAAATAATCCTTTTCAAACAAAAACCTCTCTTTTATCCAAATCACAATATAGTGCATGAAACTTAATCTTTGTTACTAAAAGCAAATACCAAAACTTTGTTTATGATTCAAACACTTAAAGTCACTAAAATTATAGAACGACATTAATATCACACAAATCCCTGAGGAAAACGATAATATAAATACCTGTGTTGAAAATACTTACAACAATCACTAATGAAAGTGTTTTGACCGTTGATAGTCATGAAATGGACGACAGTGATTTAATTAAGGGCGGTGACAAATAGCATCAACTTTAACGCTAAAATATCCCTTTCGGTTTTGAGAAAAACCGAGGTGCAAATAATTTTTTTTAATTACATTATTTACAAAGAATATCAGAAACACAATATATTACAAGAAATTCCCACTAGTGCTCAAGGCTTACTGAATTTAACAAAAGCATAGCCTTTATTTAGCCCAGTTCTACAAATTAATAGTAAATCACACAAAATCATCAATCATCATTATTTTTAACGTATAAACACTAAATGTTCTTGAGAAAGAATTTGGTAGCGTACCTGAAATCTATTGGCAAGTAGACAAAATCAAAGGAAAAAGTATTTTCAACAACAGATCTTTGGTGGAATCTAAATTTTGTTGCATACCTTTATGTTGGAAATTCAATAAAACCCCATAACTTATCCATCTTTAGATAAGTTATTTTAATTTCTTCACTTGCAATCCATCTCTGAGATCTGTTCTTAAGCGTATCTAGTTCAAAAAAATTATGACAATGGACAGTAGTAAATATTTCATGCATCTGGTGCGACTACATATAAGTTCGAATATAAAATTTGATAAACTAAGATATTTATATTAAAAGCTGACTACTTTACCCCTCTGATTTAACTTATAACTGAGGTATATTATATTATCTATCACCTCGGTTTATGGAAAAACCAAGATGAATTTTTTTTTTGGACTTACACTGTTTACACAAAAAATTAAAATAAATATTTTAAAAACAAATCTTTATTCCTTTGAATGAATATCTTCGCTGATATATCATTTATCACCTCAATTTTATGGAAACACCGAGGTGAAATTTAATTTTTTTTTACTTACATTGTTTACACAAAAAATTAAAATAAATAGTTTAAAAATAAATCTTTGCTCCTTTGAATGAATATCTTCGCTGAAATCCATCATCCTATTAGTTAAACTCCCTTCCTTGGACAATTTACAAAGAAGGGAGCTTAACTTCCTTCATTATTTCCCTGAAGGGAGAATGAGTTTTCTGTACTTGTAATCTATCAACACCAACAACAACATCAACACCAACAACAACATCAACATCAACACCATTATGTGAGATAGATTGTAAGGGCAGAAAAAACGTTTAGTCCTATAAGAACATTGAAGGTTTTTTATGTCCTGCAATTTATCCCAAAAATGATGCAATTTCGAGTTTGGTGCTGCTACAAATTAATTTCGAGTTAATTTATTTTATAATTTTAATCAAAATAATACATAAACTACAAAAGTTAGGATTCAAAGCGCGTCTAGAACAATTTTACCCCTCAGATTTATTAGAAACCGAGTTAGGTTGATGCTTTTCCAATTAAAAAAAGATAATACATGGCGCGCCTAGTCTTAATACCTCGTTATTTTTCTGGTTGACGTGAAAGTTCCGTCATGACATGTGTTATTTGTTGTAGTGCATCCACGTAGACTTCAGTCTCTTTATGCATTGTGTCATGAAAGAGAGTTATCAGGGCTCTTTGATAGGTTTTCCCAACATTGTTCACGCCGAAGACATCACTTTGTAACAGAAAGTGTCCCATGATGTAATGAAGGTTGTTTTCTCCATATCTTCAAGAGACATCTTGATCTGATTGTATTCAAAGAAGTCATTCATGAAGGAGAATACTAAAAACTAAGTTGTATTATTCACCAACACATCAATGTGAGATAAAGAGAAGTAATTCTTTGGACTAACTTTGTTCAGATATCTTAAATTCAAATACCTAAATATAAATAACTCTAACTGCAAAATACAAGGAGTAAAATCAAACTTAAAACTTAATGACAAATAAAAAGTAAGAAAGAAAAGTTGAGTCAAATGTCAACTGAATTAAAGAAATTGAAGTTAGACTTGTGTAAAACCTTCAAGGAACTAAGAACTTGTAAAAACATTTAAGTTCTAAAATGTTTGAATCTTTTTCTTGATTATGAGCATATTTCAGAAATTAAATAATTCCATTTTTTTCATGAAAACTACTATTTATACATAAACATAAAGTGATCTAATAAAAAATATCAATTAAAGAAATGGAATATCTACTAGTACAAAACAACATTAACAAACTCAATTACAAGTTATATTGAATGTGTAAATAAAATAGATAATTTGATAAAATAGAGTATTTAAATAGTTCATTCATACACCAACAAATTTATTGTGTACTACATACAATAGGAATAGGATTAAAAATTAATAACATTACGTGATTCTGAATTTTTGAATCCTGAATGGTATGACCATCTCCATGCTGGTACATGCACAATGCCATTCTAGCCAGATTTATAGTACTATCTTTGAAACTTTCAGAGAAACAGGAAGTATGAGCCTCTTTATTCATCTTCTTCCATGTTGTAAATATCATGGACTTTACATACTCACGAGCCTCAATTTCAGAAGCTCCATTTTGATTCATGTAACATTGAATTGATTTTGGAATATCACCAGTCTCATTTTCACGCTGAAAATGAAATTAAAAATGATAAGATAAAATTTTAAGTATTTGCATTTTATCGCTAGTATAAAAAATGTGAGATTTTGAAACTCAGTATTTTCTTCTTTGGAGTGGATTATTTATAATTTTTATTTTTTATGCTTAAAATAAATTTTGAAATATTTATTTCTTTAAAATTTATTTTTTACTCCATCATTTTTAAAATTGAATTTTCCTTTCCTTTTTTTAAACAAATTTCAAATAAAATAAAAAAAAATATTAAGTTTTTTAATAGCAAATAAAATATATATAACAAAAGAATTTAGGGCAAAAAATACTCGCTCTCAACCAATATACATAAATACAACAACAAAATAGTTAGAGCAACTCAACACTCAAAAGATTGGAGGAAAATAGAAAATTGATTAGTAAAATCATGAGTCCAAGACCATTTATCATCATCTAAATTGATACTAACCCTATACTGAGAGTCATAAGATCCTCCACCATGTAATATTCAAAAATAAACAGATTTATCTTCCATGTGAGTCCTTAAACCAAAGTGCCAACAACCCACCGACCCACACTTGCAACATTCAATAACTTTTTATTTAAAATGTCATTATAAATTTTAATTGATTATATGAAAATTATTTCATAATTAAAATTTAAGAAATGCTAATTAATTAATTCACACTTATAATGTAAGTTATACAAAATTTAATTTGTAACTCAGAGACTAACTCAAAGAAACATATATTAGTCTTTATTTTCAAAAGGTTATCGGCAAGAGTCTCCCTTAAAAAGAAGAGTGTCATCTGTATACTGGAGATTGAAAATAAACAAGCCAAAATCTCCTAAAAAAACGTTTACAAAAATCTAGAGACCCAGCCTTCCATATTAACTCGTTGAATCCTTATACCACCAAAAATAAGAGGAAAAAACCTTAATACAAGAAGAAACCTCTTCATCCCACTGATCACCTATCTTCAACCTTACAATCCAATTCTATTTTCTCATAGCCTTAATACAAGCATGGAAAAACCTAGAATTATCATACCAATGGAACCACATACGATATTTGAAAAGCCATCAATTCCTTATATTTGAGGATACCTCAAGTACCCACAAAGATCTTGCTTCTTAGCAAAGACCTTATTAGAATAGAGAATTGATATTTTTCATATTAATTCAATCATTTTAATCTCATCTAAAATAACATCTATCTTAATATTAAAATTACAAAACACCTCGTTATTATTCCGCGTGAGACCTTTCTTTAAAAACCTAATTTGAGCTTATATTTAAATATAAAATTCATAAATCCTGAGAACACGATCTCATTTCTACTCTTGACAACCACGTCATAAAAGTCTTTATGGTTGAGTAAAGAATTGTTAAACCTAAAAGAGTCAGGAACCCAAACTCTAAAAGTGAAATTCAACACCAAGAGGATAGTAATCATAGACGCAATGGGAAAAACTCTTTTCGAAAGAAAGATCCCAAAAATATCCCTTGTTTACTCTTTCTTGAAAACTCCGCATCTCATCTATTTCTTTCAACTTAACAAAATTTAATATAAAAGTAAAGAATGACATTTTCAAAACAAATAAAAAAGAAGTTGACAACTTACTTTGTATGTTCCAAGATCATTAGCAAGGCGTAAAATCATTGCCGAAAACCGAATTATGTTGGACTTTTCTTGTAAACAAACCAACTCTTCCTTTTTGAATGAATCTTGAATCAAAAAGTAAGTATGAGTAAGTATAACATGTGCACTTATAGAAATCCATGCATTCTCTAAGTATTCTTCAAGGCTTGGTGTGTATCCACCATGGTACCATTTTGCTTCGATCAAATATGCTTTACATAGACTTGTCCACTACATTGAATTAAAATTAAAGTCGGTGACACAACTCATGAATAGTCAAGCACAATAATAAAAACTATGCACATTTCTTACAGCTTTCTTTAGGTGTGGTGTGATATAGTATCCACTTTTATTTTGAACTTGAAAAGAAAATTCATTCACAAAGTTATAGAGTTCCTCAAAGCATATTTTCATATAGTCTGGAAGAATATCCATGCCACTTAGATCCCATCTAGAATCATAAATTTTTTTTAAGGACAAAACATGCAAAATTTTGTTAGTTATTCACTAATAAATTTTAAATAAAATTAAAAAAATTCAAAATATAGTACAAATTAACAAAAACCTGTCAATTGCTTCTGTGAAGAGTTCTAATTCTTCCAAGGTACCATAAACATCATAGACATCATCAATTACGGTAATAAAGGCATTCACTTTTGTCATAACTTTTCTCAAGTATTCCAAATTTGGATCGAAGTTAGTTCCCACAGTCCAAACAAAGTTCTCAACCAACCTATCTCTGGCAAAGCTCAATTTTTCTCCAAGACCTGTTCTTTTCCACCATCTTATAATTAAAAAAGAAAATAATTAAGCATTAGTACAAAGAGTGTTATCTCTCTTATGGCATTCAAAATATGTTTATATAAAGAGAAATTATGTTATTCATTTACTCGTTATTTATTTACATATATATCATACAAACTCAAAATATTTAAAATTATTTTTTAATTCTTATAGATATTTTCAAAGATCTTTCAGTTATAATATTAATAATAATTAATTATATATGAAACTCTTACTTTATCTCTCAATTTGATTTTTTTTCACACGTCTTAAATATCTCCAAAGTCTAAGTATTCTTAGAACAATGAATTTTAATAATCTCTATCTTCGTGTCTCTATGTTTCTCTCTTTAAAAAAATTATTTTTCTTTCATGTGTCTATCATAATAAAAAAAACTGAATATTAGAATTAAAGAGTATAGAGAGAGAAGAACTTTCTGCATAATATTTTTCACACTACTCAATTGTTACATTAGGCCGCATATTTATACAAGTATTATAGTTTGTTAGCTTATCTTTTTTACAACAAACTGCTAACAAACTTTACATCCTATTAAGAACTTAGCTGCACTCTCCCTCAAGATCAAGGAGGGATCACCTTGAGCTTGCACCCGAGGTGTCAAGGGGTTTTGTCAGTGTCTTGAAAAACATGTTGAATCACAAGTTTCTTAGCTATCACGTGTTCTCTTACAAAATGAATGCCGAGTTCGATATGTTTCGTGTACAGGATTGTGGGATAATACGACGACACTCAAGTTACCTCAAAGCAGCATATAAGAGCGAAAGAGAATTCGCAGTTCAGTCAATAAGGATTCTACCCATATTAATTGTGAAGTAGTATGTGTTGGTGTAAGTCCTAGAGGTCAATACTTTTGGTACTTGTATCGAATTATTTATTAATAATAAAAGGCATTTCTTTATTATGTTTGCTTTCCAAAATAATAAAGTCCCTAGAATGGTTTATTGGTTTAATGAAATGTTAAGTGTGACTTAATCATGAGATCCCATTAAACATAAGACACTATTCTTAAAGTATCCGTAGTCAAGCTTTAATGTGAAGTGGGATAACATTAAAGCATTAAGATTATTATGAAGATAGATTGATGATCACATCTCATGGATCATAGATAAGGAGTTATCAAGTCTTGACATAGGTATGAATATTAGGAGTAATATTTATACTGGATTGACCCGCTATGAGAATACTACATAGAATGTTATGCAAAGTGTCATAAGTTATTCTCATGATGATAATGGTGTATACCACCCTTCGACCTGAAACCACTATGGACCCTAGATGTAGAGTCAAGTACTTTATTGCTGATCAAACATCATCTGTAACTGGATGACTATAAAGACGGTTGATGGGTACTTCACAAAGCATGCTAAGGGACATGAGTGACCTAGATGGAATTTGCTCATCTTGCATAATAGGATAAATGTTTAAGGGCCCAATATTGAACTGGACAAGGGTGACACAGTGTATGCCCTGTGTTCAATATAGACATGAGGGCAAAAGGGTAATTGTACAACACAAATATTATCACGGGAAATGTTTGGTCAGATCACATGACATTTTCGTGACTTGGGTAACAGTGATGTGTTGCTAGATACCGCTCACTGTTTATTATATTAAATGTGTGATTTAACATAATTGCCAACGTCGCGAAAACCTACAGGGTCACACACATAAGGACAGGTTGATGAGAGATAGAATAAATAAGGAACACCGTAAGGTACGGTGCACTTAAGTGTAATAAGAAAAGTGGTAAGGTACCACGTGGATAAGTGATATATGGTACATCATAAGGTATGATGTCCATAAGCTTAATTGGGCTTTTAGCTTATAGCCTTAATTGGGCTTTTAGCTTGTAGCCCACACGAGTGATTCTATAAATAGATCCCTTGTGATGAAGCAATTTCACTTGATGCAATTTCGTTTTTGATTCTCTCTCTCACTCAAAGTTTCCGTTCGTGATCAGCTAGCACTGTGACCGGAAGCGATCTGTTCGTGTGGACTGAGTAGAAGCGTTGTTCTTCATCAACGCTCGTGATCACAACATCAAAGGTCTGAATCGCCACAAGAGGTAAATATTTCTATCACTGACCATGCTCATTCGTAAGGATCTCTAAAGGAAAATTTTAAATTCCGCTGCGCTTTTGGTCGCAATTTTCCTTCAGTATGAGCAAGTGCCCTGTATTTCACTTTTGTGCTTGATTTAGCTACAAGAGATTATTTCTTGGAGTTCCACGCCACAAGGTTAGAGCCAAAAAATATACATGAACCGGAAGTAGATCTTCGATCATCCGGATCACTCGCCCAATCTGAGTCACTATAAACTCTTAAGGAGAATTTCTTATTTGAGGTAGATAGAGAAAACACAATACCATGAGAGATGGTGCCACTAAGGTACCTTAGAATCCTGCAGACAACTGCCCAATGAGTATCAAGAGGAGCTGACATAAACTAGTAGGCTTTATTGACATTGTAGGAAATATCTGGCATGGTGAGAATCACATATTGTAGAGCCTCTACTATGGATCTGTATAGAAGATGATCAAAAAAGGCCTGAGAACCATGTCTACTAAGCTTGCAGATACTGAGCATGGGGGTTGGGAAACCATTTGCTTTAGACATGTTTCCTTTCTCAAGTAAATCACTAATGTATTTTCCTTGTGTCAGTAGAAGAGAGCCATTTTTCTGAGGTATAATTTATATGTCCATAAAATACTCTAGTTTACCAAGCGGCTTTAGAGCAAAGGCTTTGTGTAGCTTATTGATTAAATCCTACACAAATGATGCTGATGAACGAGTTAAGAGGATATCATCAACATAAACCAGGGCATACATTGCGGTACCTTGTTTGGAGTAGACAAATAAGGAGTGATCACACTTTGAATGAGTAAATCCAAATACCAGGAGAGTCTGATTTAGTTTGTCGTACCAGACCCTAGGGGATTGTTTAAGCCTATAGAGGGCTTTATGAAGCTTAAATATCAGGTCTTATTTTGATGAGTAAATCTTCGTGGTTGCACCATGTACACTTCTTCTTGGAGAGTGTCATTCAAGAAAGCATTGTTGATATCAATTTGAGGGATTTCCCATCTATATGTGAGAGCTAAACCGAGGATAACTTTGATTGCTGTAGGTTTCACCACTAGAGAAAATGCTTCATTGAAGTCAAATCCTTGTTGTTGATGAAACCCTTTAGCTACCAACATGGCTTCGTATTTGTTAACACTACCATCTGGATTCTTTTTCACTTTGAAGATCCATTTACATCCAAACGCTTGTCTATGAGGAGGAATTTTAGTGAGAGTCCATGTTTGCTTATCTATGAGAGAATCATATTTGTTGTAGCCCAAAATTTTCCCTCTCATTTCTCAAGAAATATCTCATAAGATCTCCATTGATTCAAGACTATACAAGGTTTGATCAGCTCAAGATACCTCCTCAAGCATTGACAACTCAAAATTAGGGTTTGAGTTTTCACAAGGACAATTGGACTTTCAAGGCCTCAAATTACTTTTTTGAATCAATAGGAACCATCAATATTTCTCATGTCAAGTTTCAAGCTTTAGATCATATTTTTGCTCAGTCTGTTGATTAGATGACCTAAAATTAGCTGTATTGGGGAAAAAGTCAATTGTGGTCAATTTGAAGTCAAACTTAATAATTTTTGGTCCATATAAACATTATAAACTCATATAGGTCAATTGATCAAGTTTGGATCACAATTCCTCAAAGAATTTGATCAGAACACCAAAAAGGCAAAATGATCAAAATTAGGGTTTTGATTGAGAAGGCTCAGTTCTTGACTTTTGACCAAGGAAATGGCTTATTGGGTTAATGATCTCAAGGATTCAAATGAACCATCTTTACCTAATTGCATAGTTCAAATCACCTCTCAAGATTATTAGATTGACAGATGAATTTCAATCAACTGATAAAAAGTCAATTGTACACTGAAAAGTCAAACTTTGACTTTTTGATCAAAATCAAGTTTCAAAGATCATATTTCATCAAGACAAGTCAAAATATAAAACTTGTTCATCAATAAATAGAAAAGTCAAAGTTACCTTTGAAAAGTCAAAATTCTAAGACTTCGAAATTTTTCTGTGTTAGAAAGTTCATATTTTTCATAACATTGTGCCAAATTTCCACCATGATGCAAGATGATTCAAGGGAAACTTCCAACGTGAAAGTTGTAGATATTAATGAAATATAAAACATTGTAGGGAATAAATTTTTCTAAAAATTCTTGGATTTCAAGTTATAAATTGGTAAAGACATGCTCATGAAACTTAAACACTTAGTGAAATTTTGCCCTAGTTAGGGAGATTTTTGGTACCAACTTCATGGAAACTTTTTACCTAGTTCCAAGATGAATCTTCAAAAATGTCCAATATGAAGGTTGTATAGGATGTTACATGCTTTCCAAAATGTCGTAGAAATCATCAAGACCATACTTGAGCTAAGAGAATCGAAGGCAAGAAGTTAGGGTTTCAAACTTGTTTTGCAAGACATGTTTTGTGATGAACATGAACCAAATCCATAGCCATGCTGCATAATCTTCACTTTGCAGGCTTGAAACTTATTTTTCACTCCATAATTAATGGTTTACACAACTGATTATTCTCTTTTCCAAGTGTTTCAAGCTTTGTCCAAACTAATTTGCCATTTTAGGGAGAACGTGACATATCCATTCTTGTAAAGCAAGCTTTATGCACAAAGTCAGCTTCTTGAGCTCCTAACTTATTTTCTTTGAGTACACTCCATCCACAAAGTCAGAGGCATTGTGTTTAAAGTGGTTAACAACTCTATGAACCAAGTACAAAGGCATGGAAACTTGTTTTGTCAAAAAATCACATGTTGAGCTT